CTCGATCAGGTGATGCTACACCTGCCTGAACTTGGAAAACAGGCACAGAGGTAGGGAGTGAGGTAGAGGAGATGTGAGAATCAGAACATTTTAGAGCTCAGAAGGACCCGAGAGATCACATGGCTCAGTGCCCAGAGCAAGGGCGATCCCAAGGGACGGTATTTTATCACCTGCCAGTGATGATTGGTGCCTTCTGCTCTGGGGAGTTGTGTCTGGCTTTCAGCTCTCTACTGGCATCCTAGGACCACATTGGTGGAATCTGGACCACACTGACCATGCTGACATCCTTAGATCACAATGACCTCTAGGGCTGCTAGCTGAGCCCAGTAATGTGCTCTGAAGACAGTTTAGAACCAGTGATCTGGGGCCCCCAGCCCCCAAACACCCAAGAACAAGAGTTCCTAGCCAGGTTTTCATACAATAGAGCATTATATAGCCTTTCTTAAAGACTTCTAGACCTATGATAAACCATGACCTCCAGCCCCCAGCACGCATGTACAGATACACACGCGTACATGCACACACACACACACACACACACACACACACACAGTTGGACACCAGTGGCTCATGCCTGTAATCCTAGCTACTCAGGAGGCTGAGATCTGAGGATTGTGTTTTGAAGCCACACTGGGCAGAAAAGTCCCCATGATACTCATCTCCAATTAACCACTCAAAAAACAGAAGTGGTGCAGTGTCTGGAGTGGTAGAGCACTAGCCTTGAGTACAAAGGGGCTAAGGGACAGTGCTCAGGCCCTGAGTTCAAGCTCCACAACTGACAAACACACACACACAACCACACACACAACCACACAACCAATCGTTTCATTCCTAAGGATTCTGTTTGTACACAGGGAACTAGGTGCAGCACTGCCCCCTTGTGGCTGCTTCAACTATTACCACTGCTCATCTTTGATTTCCCCTCCTTCCTTCCCTATCTCTGGCCCCCATGTGGCTCTTCTCCCCTCTTAGGCAGAGAGTGATTAGTAGGGTTGTCCTTGCGCGGGGAGGACCCTCTTCCTGAACTTTTCTCCTGGGAAGGTGTACCAACCAGGTTTTTAATTTCCTATTCTAGCTGGGTGCCAGCAGCTCACACCTTTAATCATAGCTACTCAGGAGACTGAGATCTGAGGATTGCTGTTCGAAGCCAGCCAGTGCAGAAAAGTCTGTGAGCCTCTGATCTCCAATAAACTACTCAGATAAATCTGGAAGTAATGCTATGGCACAGGAGTACAACACTAGCCTTCAGCCCAAAGAGTCTCAGGGAGACTGACCAGGCCCTGAGTTCAAGCCCCAGGACTGGAAAAAAAAAGTTTTTTTTCCTATTCTAGAATGTGTTGACTTTGTACAGACTCATCTTGGAGTTTGCAAATTCCTAAAGAAAGTAAATAGCCTGTAGCTTCCACCTGTAATCCTAGCTACTCAGGAGGCTGAGATCTGAGGATCGAGGTTCAAGGTTCAAAGATAGCCTGGGCAGCTGGGAAGATGACTCAGTGGTAGAGCGCTTGCCTTGAATGCCTGAGGCCCTGGGTTCGATTCCTCAGCACCACATAAGCAAAAAGAAAAAAGCCAGAAGTGGCGCTATGGCTCAAGTGGTAGAGTGATAGCCTTGAGCTGAAGAGCCGAGGGACAGTGCCCAGGCCCAGAGTTCAGACCCCACGACCGACCAAAAAAACGAAAGGATAGCCCAGGCAGTAAAGTTCATGAGATTCATGTCTCCAATTAACCAGTGAAAAGCCAAAAGTGGAACTATAGCTCAAATGGTAGAGTGCTTGCAAAAAAAAAGAAGGGGGAGCCGGGAATTAGCTTAGTGGTAGAGTGCTTGCCTAGCATGCATGAGGCCCTGGGTTCAATTCCTCAGTACCACAGAAACAGAAAAAAACAGAAGTGATGCTGTGGCTCAAGTGGTAGAGTGCTAGCCTTGAGCAAAAGAAGCTCAGGGACCGTGCACAGGTCCTGAGTTCAAGCCCAAGGACTGAAAAGACAGATTGAGAGAAAGAGAGAGAGAGAGAGAGAAACAATTTTGAAGGAAGAGTACAAATAATACCATTTAACTCTCACTTAGTCCAATATATTTCCTCTACCCTCAATTACGCCAGGGTCAGACACTGAGCAACGCGAAACCACCCTCGTAGCCCTGAGCACTCTGAAATTATCCAAACTACCCAATACTGAAGTTGCTCACAGTCCTCCCTTCTTTTTTTAAAAAATACAGGGTCTGGGACTTGAACTTAAGGCCTCTCTTAGATTTTTGCTCCAAGCTGAAGCCACAGCTGCACCTCCAGCCTCTTTGCTGGAGCATGGACTTTTCTAACCTCTTTTCTAGCCTCTTTGCTGGAGCCATGAACTTCAGATCATGAGTATCTAGGATTGCAGGCAGGAGCCACCAGGGCTGGTGATACTCTACCCCGTTCACCATCGCTGTGTGGCCATGCATGGTACCAACCCCCCTCCCCCAGCCCCCTTCTCCTGAGAAACCTGTCCTAGTCATCCCTGATCAATACAAAAATCTCAGGGCCACAAACAAGACAACAGAGCCACACCTAGCACCAAAAGAAACAGCTAGAAAGTGGCTCCAGGGCCTGCAGCCATGCCTTCCTCTGTGTGGAAAGCTGGGCCTCACCAACCAGCATTGGATACACACACGCCCCGGGCCCCAGCGAGGCAGGCCTTGGGAACGCTGCTTCATGTCTGCACTCACCCCACTTTTCTCCCTCTGGCATTGTGGCCTGACTTATTTATGTAGCCAGAAATCGAAGTCTGGTGCAATGCGTTTGCAGACCAAAGCAGACAGACCTCCTGGCCTGCTCCAGACAAGAGGGCAGACAGGCAAATCCCCACCATCCATCTCTGTAAATCATCCTCCTCCCCCAGGGCTTCCACTCCAGGCCAGAAGGATTTTCTTAAGACAAGCAGTGACTCAAGCAGTGGTCCCCGAGTAAGGAGAAGATGGCTTTCTTCTCTCCTTAAATAACTCCTCACCAAAGAGATGGCTCCCTGGGTTCCCAGCTGAGGGAGCTGTAAATCCTTCTTTAGAGAAGGCAGTTTATGGAGCCTTCTCGGATTCTTCCCACCATTATATCGGTTGAACTACAAGCTACCCACGTCCGGCTGGTATCCAGCGTCTTTCAATTGCTTTAGAAACTGGCACTTGGGCAGATGAAACTTGAAACCAATCAAGGAACTTAATTTCAGATCACAAGGCATACTTTATATTCAGCTTAAGTGTTCTGACTTTAATTATCTTGTCTTTTTTTCTTTCTTGTGCCAGTATTGGGGCTTGAATTTAGGGCCTCTCACTTTTTTTTTTTTGCCAGTCCTGGGTGAGGCTCGAACTCAGGGCCTGGGCACTGTCCCTGAGCTTCTTTTGCACAAGGCTAGCTTTTCATGAGTATATGGTACTGAGGAATCGAACCCAGGATGTCATGCATGCAAGGCAAGCACTCTACCACTAAACCACATTCCCAGCCCACGGGCCTCTCATTCTTACTTGGCTTTTTCATTCAAGGGTGGCACTCTATCTATTAAACCACACTTGCACTTCTAAGTTTTTGCTGGTTAATGGAAATGAGACTTTCTGAGATTTGTTTGCCTAGTCTGGCTTCAAACCTCAATCCTCAGATCTCAGCCTCCTGAGTAGCTAGGATTACAGGTGTAACTTTTAGTTACTTTATTATTTTTTGTCAGTCCTGAGGCTTGAACTCAGGGCCTGGACACTGCCTCTGAGCTCATTTTGCTCAAGACTGGCACGTTACCACTTTGAGACACAGCCCCACTTGCGGTTTTCTGGGTTAATTGGTGATAAGAGTCTCGCAGACTTTCCCGCCTGGGCTGACTTTGAATCATGATCCTCTTGAGTAGCCTGGATTACAGGTGTGAGCCACCAGCACTTGGCTATGACTTTAAGTTTAATTTGTCACTAGAGCTCCTTCTAGGGAATTCTGGACTTGACCTAGACCAGAGGACTCTCATATAAGGATCTCACTGCAGACACCTGGCATCTATCTGTCTGTGAATGCAGGCCATGTCGCAGTGAGAGCAACAAATGTGTCTAATTCAGTGGCTCCTCAGGACTTCCAGTCAGCCATGGAGGCCTGTGGTGCATTGGACTGAACCCGGAGCCAGGTGGACGCCTTGTTTAGAGGGGTAATGTGTCCACCACCACCTGTGCTTGCAGGGGCTTCCGTACAAACATCTGATCACCCACCACCGGGAGCCCCCACACCGCTACCTCATCAGCTCCTACGACGATCACTACAATCGGCGGGACTACAACCCAGGCATGCCCTCAGTCCGTACCTGGAGTAGGCAGAAGTTGCTGTGGCTGCCGGAGAAATCCGACTTCCCCCTTCTGGGTAATATGATAGATCAGGATTTTCTTCCGTGCTGTCCTGGAAGGGGTTCACAAGCACAAAGGCCTGAGATACACTGCTCTCATTCACAAGGCCCCACACGAGAGACCCTAGCTCCAGACCAGCTCAGACCAGCTGCTCCCTGCCTCTCTCCCACTGATGCTAGAGATCATCTAGGATGCCCTCGCCTGGGCAGCCTCGGAGCAACACATTCCCTCCCACCCTCTGCCTCGCCCATAGTGAATATTTCCACTATATTTCTGTTCCTCGTTGAGGTCCACAAACTCCTGTGGAGTGGTACAAACTTGTGCCCTCCAAGAGTTGACATGATGGTGGGAAGACACAGGACTCAGATCTAAGTCTGCTGAGCAGCTAGGATTATAGACATGAGCCGCCAGCACCTGCTCAGCAGAGAAATCTTCTTAAAGACTGTGACTAGTGGATGTAATAGTTTGGGGCAGGTGTGTGTTGTAGAGGTGGCATATTCATGAACCTCTTCTAGTCGTTGAACCTCTCCTCTGCCTGCCCCGCCAGACTCAGTCCCTGAGACCCAGCCTAGGATAATCTGCAGGGCCTCACTATTGCTCCTTGCTCTTTGTTTCTTTGGTTTTGTGGGGGTTTTGTGCCAGTCCTGGGGCTTGAACTCAGGTCTTACGCAGTGTTCCTGAGCTTCTATACTTGAGGCTGGCACTCTACCACTTGAGCCACAGCTCCACTTCCAGATTTCTGTTGGTTAGTGTGAGATTAAAATCGCACAGAAGCTGGGCATCCATGGCTCATGCCTGTAATCCTAGCTACTGAGGAGGCTGAGATCTGAGGATCGCAGTTTAATGCCAGCCTGGGCAGAAAAGGCCAGGAAACTCTAATCACCAATAAGAAAATAAATCACCAGAAAACTGGAAGTGGTGCTGTGGCTCAAGTGGTAGAGCACTAGCCTTGAGCTGAAGAACTGAGGGACAGCGCCCAGGCCCAGAGTTCAAGCCCTACAACCAACAACAACAAAAAAAAAACCTCACAGACTTTTCTGCCTGAGCTGGCTTTGAACCATAATCCTCAGCTCTCAGCCTCCTATGTAGGATTACAGGTATGAGGCCCTGGAGCCCAGGCAAATCACAGCTTCTTTAGGCCATGTTCCTTGAAGCCCTGTGTAACTCCAAGTTTGTCTTGTTACTGATTTGTCTTGCAGGTCCCCCTACAAACTATGGACTGTGTGAGTGCCTGAAGAAGAGGTGGCTTTCACCCCAGACTGGCACGAAAGAGAGCACTTACACTTCCTCCTACCCCAAACCCCCATTAAGTGCTCTGGCACGGCCCCTTCCCCTGCGCCCCTTCCCACACTCCTGAGGACAGCCACCCGCCAGAGCCAGCTGGAGACCCCTGGTACCACTGGACTTGCCACACAGCAAGTGGCAACCTGACTATGAAATCCAGCCTATTGGATGGGCCTTTAGAATCATGATCTGTATTTTATGGCACCAAGAGGTTTTCTTTTCTATTCCATAATTAAAGCTCTTTAACATTACAACAATGCCATGTGTGTGATGGGCATACACAGCCAGCAAAAATCAGTTCTGGGGCCGGGCGCCAGTGGCTCACGCCAGTAATCATAGCTACTCAGGAGGCTAAGATGTGAGGACTGTGGTTCAAAGCCACAGGGGCAAGAAAGTCCATGAGACTCCAATAAACCACTAGAAAACTAGGAGTGGCACTGAGGCTCAAATGGTAAAGAGCTAGCCTTGAGATGAAGAACTGAAGGACAGCGCCCAGGCCCAGAGTTCAAGCCCCATGACTGACACACACACACACAAAATCAGTTCCGTCTCCTCATTTGACAGGAGAGGAAACTGAGGCCAGGAAGGTAAGTAGCCTCCCTCAAGTTCTTACAATAAAGCATATACCTTCAAGGAGTCGTATGGTCCAAAGGGAGAAACGACTTGATCCTGAGAGCCATCACGAAAACCCCATGGAAGATTGGGGGTCAAGGAGAGCCTCACCTGTCATCCTAGCTACTCAGGAGGCTAAGATCTGAGGATCATGGTTCAAAACTAGCCAGAGCAAGAAAGTCCATGAGACTCTTATCTCCAGTTGGCCACCAAAAAGCCCGACATGGACATGTGGCTTGAGTTGTAGTGCACCAGCCTTGAATGGAAAAAAGCTAATGGTACTTACACATACAAAAAAAAAGGGGGCTGGGAAGGTGGCTCAGTGGTAGAGTGCTTGCCTTGCATGCCTGAGGCCCTGAGTTCAATTCCTCAGCACCACATAAGCAAAAACAAAAAAGAAAAGCTGGGAGTGGTGCTGTGGCTCAAGTGGTAGAGCGCTAGCCTTGAGCTGAAGAGCTGAGGGACAGCGCCCAAGCCCAGAGTTCAGGCCCCACGACCGGACCCCCCAAAAAAAAAAAAAGAAAAGAAAAGAAAAGAGGAGTGAATGTGGAAGGGGGCATGGTACCATGGGAGCAGGTAGCAAGATAGGAGCCTGCTTGTCATCCTCATTCGCTACATTGGAGAAGAGATGCACTGGCTCACAAGAAGGGAGATTCGGGGCTGGGAGTGTGGCTTAGAGGTATTGTGCTTGCCTAGCATACATGAAGGTCTGGGTTTGATTCCTCAGTTTGATTCCACCACATACACAGAAAAAGCCAGAAGGGGCACTGTGGCTCAAGTAGTAGAATGCTTGAGCAAAAGAAGCTCACGGACAGTGCCCAGGCCCTGAGTTCAGTCCTTAGGACTGGCAAAAAAATAGGGAGGGGGGAGGGTTCACAGACTCTTCCCTCTGCCTCTGAACCTCTCAAATCTGTTGAGAGATTTGAGGCTAGGGAGAGCCATCTGGTAGGAGGCTGGGGATGAAGGCTTAGAGAAGAAACTCATAAGAGCCCACCTTCAGCCAGGCACCAGTGGCTCACGCCTGTAATCCCAGCTACTCAGGAAGCTGAGATCTGAGGCTAGCAGATCGAAGCCAAACAGGGCAAGAAAACCTGTGAAACTCTTATCTCTAGTGAACCACCTGAAAACTGGAAATGGAGCTGTGGGTCAAAATGTTAGAACACTAGCTTTGAGCAAAAAAGCCAAGGGACGGTGTCTAGTCCCTGAGCTCAAGCCCCATGACTGGTATATATTTAAAAAATAAAGGTAGCCAAGAGAAAAGCTCAGGGGACAAGACAGCCCTGAGGCACAGTCCACTCAGATGCTGAACATATAACACCTTCACTGAGGAATCCAGGGCTAGAAAACTTCTTGGAAGACAGTCCTGAGGCCATATGGGGATTGATGTGTCCAAAATAAGCTTGCCCCTGGTGCCCATTTCATAACATTTTTTTAAGATTTATTCTTTTGTGCCAGTACAGGAGCTTGAACTCAGGGCCCGGGTGCTGCTGTCCCTTCGTTTTTGACATTGTACCACTTGAGCCCCAATTTCATTTCCAGGTGGTTAACTGGAGATGAGTTTCATGGACTCTCCTGCCTAGACTGGCTTTGAACTGAGATCCTCTGATCTCAGCGTCCTGAGTAGGTAGGATGACGAGTGTGAGCCACCAGCCAATCTATGAGTGGCTGTGACTTCAGACTCAGGGTCTCTCTACGATCTACACCAACTATGGAAAGCAAATGTTAAAAAAAAAATCCAAAGCCACATACTACCACCCCCAAGTAATTTTCTATTTATTTTTTGGAAAACATGTCATGGGAGGCAGTACACTGGGGTTTAGTGATGATCAGAGATTTCATGCTTTAAAGGCAAACCACTGTTAACGCTTGAGTCTGGTAGAGCAACTTCCAGTCTCAGACAGACATGAATTCATTCACTGGGGATCTCTTTCTCTCTCTCTCTCTCTCTCCTCCAGTCTGAACTCAGAGCCTGGGCACTGTTCCTGAGTTGCTTTAACTGAAGGCTAGCACTCTACCACTTGAGCCACAGCACCACTTTTTCTGTTTATGTGGTACAGAGGAATGGAACCCAGGGCTTCATGTATGCTAGGCAAGCACTTTACCACTGAGCCACCTTCCCAGGCCTTCAGTCTATTTCTCTTCATCTGAGAAATGAGTCATTCTCAGAGGTCCCTGGTTATGGGGACTTAAAAAAAATAATAAGGCCCCCAGCTGCTCCTGCATCTGGACTTGCTACTGGGTTTCTTTGTTCCTGGATGGAAACTCCCAGAGCTCTTGGAGCAAACAGAGCTTGGCTGGAAGTTTGGGGACCCAGGCCCTTCGGGCTCTCCCCACCTCGTAGGAAGCGTCTTCTCACCCTCTGCCCATGACAAGAGTTTTCTCCACCAGAGAAAGCTTTACCCGCTCTGGCCTGAGTTCAAGTCACCATAGGCGGCTGCTGGATGTCTCCAAACCACCCATGGCTGCTTGAGTATGAGCCAGGACACCCGACCTGGGCAGTGCAGGTCTTCCGGCTCATGTATCTGCTTCTCATTAACTCCCTCACGAAACGAGATACAGACCTCAGGTTATGTCATCAACGGTCAGCCATTGCTAAGCAAGCTTTGCACCTGGTGATTCGGCTCCAGCCTTCCCTCCCTGTCCTCCCCTAGTTCGAGGTGGTGAAGCATCTTCCACTTCTCTTCAGGAAGTTCCTCCAACAGCAGTCAATTCTTAGCACACAGCGCCCCCTGGTGACATTCAACCTAAAGTCGTCCTGAGAATGTACCTAAGGTGTGAGGAGGGCTGGGAGAGAGAAGGAAAGAGCTCTTAATTAGGAAAAGGTTTAGGAAAGCAATAGCTTTTTCTTTTTTCTTAATGTGTCATAACTTGTAGGATGCCCAGTGTCACAGAAGTCAAAATAATAGTGCAAACAACTACAGTGCAATTACAAGTGACTTTAATTCAATTAAATTTACAATGAGTGTTCCTTTCTGAGTTTTTGTATAATATTTAATCTCGACCATTAAATATTTTTATATTTTAATATGAGGAAGTCAAATTTTAGACTTCGAGTAATTTGTATAATGTATAAATTTATGTTAGGGCAGAAAATAAATCTCATTCTAGACAAATGCTTGATTAAGGGACGTATTTATAAAGTGCTTTGTTAAATTGCAACTCCTTAAACATTTAATAATAGTAATGAATAATAATAAAGTATGAATGATAATAAATAAGTTTTGTTTTGTTTTATTTTGGGTCAGTTGTGTTTGAACTCTGGGGCCTGGGCACTGTCCCTTAGTTCTTCAGCTCAAGCCACCAGCGCCCGGCTAAAATATATTTTTAAAAGCCATAGCTTAGAAAATGACCATCAGAGAGGAAGTGGAGCCACAGCTGAAACTGTGTCTGTTTCCTGGATTATGGAAACCACTAGAATGGGAAGGCAGCTGGCTTCAGGTTAGGCCCAACACTGGGTCTCCAGAACTCTGACAGGATGAGCAGCCACCCTTCTGCAGAAGGGGACCCCGACCCTGTCCTATACTCTGGGACAATTTTCACTGAGCATCTTGAGAAGTTAGATCTGAGCTTTGAGCTCCTTCCAGCACTGACCAGGTATACAGGGTGACAGGAAGAGAAGCCATTTCGAAACACTGGGAAGATCACAGCCTCATGACTCCAAGAGAACTCAGGTTAGGAGGGATGAGAGAAACTGTGGCTCAAGTGGTAGAATGCCAGCCCTGAATGAAGAAAACTAAGGGGTAGCACCCAGGTTCTAAGTTCAAGCCCCAGTACACATGCTAACACTCTACCACTTGAGCCACAGCACTACTTCTGGTTTCCTGGTGGTTAATTGCAGATAAGAGTCTCAAGGGGCTGGGAAGGTGGCTCAGTGGTAGAGTGCTTGCCTTGCATGCATGAGGCCCTGGGTTTGATTCCTCAGCACCACATGAGCAGAAAAAGCCAGAAGTGATGCTGTGGCTCAAGTGGTAGAGCACTAGCCTTGAGCTGAAGAGCTGAGGAACAGCACTCAGGACCAGAGTTCAGGCCCCATGACTGGCAAAAAAAAAAAAATTCTCAAGAATTTTCCTGCCTGGGCTAACTCTGATTCACAGTCCTCAGATCTCAGCCTCCTGAGTAGCTAGGATTACAGGCATGAGCCTTCGGCCAGTGGCCCAGGCTCTAATTTTTGGTACTTTCCCACGGTGCTCATGTGTTAGGAGAGAAAAACTAAATTTTGTTTCCATCTCCTATGGTGGGCCTATGAGACTGTATCAGAGATGGCTTTTAGCCCTGTAGGTCACTGTTACCTCTGGTGAGAATAATCAAAATATACTTGCCAAGAGGCTCAGTGGGTTATGGTCAGACCAAAGGGTCCTGGAAACTTCCTGGACTGTTGGCTGTATGTTAAATGTCCCTTTTGGGAAGATCCTTGACCCTAAGTAAAAGACTACAAGTGGAGCCTTCATGGTGGCAGAACAC